TTTTTTTTTTTTTTTTTTTTTTTTTTTTTTTTTGAATATCATCTGAAATGCATGTGAAAACAGCCATTTTGATAACGTTTGAAAAGGCAGAAAACTTTTCTTCTCATGTCTGTTTTCTTCAAATTTTTCCAGACAGTAACGTTACCAGCCAAATCAGTTGTAGTCTTCTTACCTCTTTTGTATTTTTCAACTGTAACAGTTGCTGTATGTGTTGTGTGATACTTAATGAAGACAAAACAATGCTTTTACGATTTCTTTTTTATAAATTCAAGATCAGACTCTTTGTTTATGACTTAATTAATGTTGCGAAGTATAACAACAAAACAATTGTGTTTTACAAGTATCCAGTAATTATAGTGTTACTTAGTACATACATATAAAACTTGTGAATTAATATCCATTTTTATAATTTTTTTGACTTTAAAACCGCTACTTCTTAATAATTCAACAGCTCTGTTTCGTCCCCACATGGAACCCAAACATAGAGCATCTAAAAATTTCAGAAAGTTTGATACAGCACTTCTTCGCCGTTAATAAGTGATGTTGATCTTCTTAAAAGAGATTTACCTGGCGTGTTGCAAGAGCACGGCAAGCAGTTGAACGTTGAGAAAAGGTATGAAACCATTGCTCTTTTGCCGAATTGTTTTTTATCCGAATAAATATTACCCGTGCCGTCGATATCAACCATTGTGAAAATTCCATCATCTTTCAAGGCTCTGCGAATCTCTTTGAAGCTCTGTCAGTTAAAATCCAAAAATTTGAACGGATGTATATAAAAAAGCAAACGAATCAATTTTTCAAATCACACATTTTTTCTGAAGCGGCTAGTAATTTTACGACAGGATTATGAAATGGCAAGCATCTGTAGTGGTTTTGAACGACCCACTATTTTTTAGAAGAAATGTTGCTGTCAAGAGTTAAAAAATTAAGAATTTTGAATTTGTGCAGTCGCGAAAGATAAGCCAAATGGAATGTTGCTACTGTTCACCATCATCAAGATGAGAAAATGTAAAAATTTGTAACTCAAATTCAAAGAAAGTCTCAGCAAAAAAGTACCAAATCTGGACGTGGTTGATCGTGAGCGCAGTCAAACATCATTATCCAGTCAAATTTACCAGTCCATTCACTCGGTATTTTTTGATCATCCATCGCTATGAATTCAACATTAGTCAAATTTTTTTCCATTTTCCGCTTATTCGCTTCCTCAATTGCCTCTTTGCTTAAGTCAATACCAGTAAACTTAACCTGTGGAAGCGCTTTGGCTAAAACAAACTAAAGGTAGATTTTCACAGCACATATCGCATGAAGCAGATAACTTTCACAGCTAGCAGTTAAATGTAACTGACCAAAACAAAGTGCTTTGTTATAGAGAAAAATAAATCAAGTATTTTTTTATAACTGGGGGTACATATTTATGCGTAGAAATTCATAAAATACCAGAAAATTTTTACAAAAAGTTTCCAGATGATATCCGTTCCCACAACCAATATCGATAGCTTCTGTAGTGCCAGTTTTTATTTTTTCCTCAAACCCGGTATAAGCCAGAAACTTATCAGAGTAATTGTTGCCATAAGTTCCTTCTGCAATTAGTCCAAAGTACTTTTGCAGCCCTTTGTAATCATTCCAGTCAGCCCCTAAATAGATCCATTTTTGCAAACTTTTAAAACTTTTAAAAAACAATGTTTACGACAGAAGAATAAGCTAAAACTGACCTCTGGGACCGTCTTTCTTGAAAACATTTTCGATGTTCTTCTCCATGTTAGCATATATCCCAATCATATTCATTATTTTTAGCATAAATGTTGCATTAGGACCACTAATCACATCACGATATTCAGGTTTCAACCAGAATTGCTCACCGCTCTCATCGGTCTCAACGAAGCCTCCACAAGTAACAATACCGAGCCATTCTCTAACGTATCTTAAAATCACCTCTTTTCCGGCATTCACGCAACCATCAGCCGCACCAATTACCAATGTGTTTAACTGGTGGTTTTTCTTAGCAGTCAAGAAATTTTTTATCATTTTGTTTCTTATGATGGATTCCAACTATTTGCCTTGTACCACTTATCAACTGATTCAAAATGGATGCAACTAGCTCTATGCTAGAAATTTTTTGATTTGAAACAAGGACTGGACAATTTAATTAATCTTAGGCGTCAACCAAATTGACAGTAACGACAGTAACCTGCTAGTTTCAAAGTCACAAAATTCAGAGTATTTTTTATAAGGGTATGTAAAAAAGGCAAAGTAAATAATTTTACAAAATAAAGTTATAAACAGTAAATCAGGACAATTTAGACTCTTTTTGATTTATTTATTATCTTCATTTCTTCATGGTTTTACTTTTCTTCAAAACTCATCAACGCTGTTTAGCAGTTATTTTCTCAAAAAATACTTTTGCTACTAAATAAATGATAAACAATAAAAATGACCGACGTAGTCATTGAAAAAATGTATACCTTTCTTTTAAACCAGCTTTATTTGCTATCATAGCAGCAGTTGCTGGTGATTCCGGGGTAGATACATCACCAATAGCATCAAAAATTTTCAGATTACTCCCAAGAGACAAGGCCAAACTGAGAAATGCATAAGAAAATATATTCTGAAACAACTGTTGTCAGCCAAAAATAATTGAACCACAGTCGTGAAACCGTTTTATGCAAACTTTATTCCCCACAAAATTTATTTACATTAGCCCTTGAGTATAACAACTAAAAGGCCCCACAAAACTGAATAAGGAAACTTAGGCATACACAGCCTTCTGAAATGAACAGAGAAGAAGTGTATCAGGACTATAGAATAAATGCAATAATAGTTGCTTAACATATCTTCTAAATCTGTAAAATTTTTCTGAATAAAAAAAAGCATTAATTTATTTATAAAAATCTTATTATGAAAGAATTGTAGTCAGACACGATTGTTACCAAAGTAAATAATTTTAAAAAACTTAGGAAAAGTAGCGAGAGTACTCCTTCAACAACTTGACCAGTTTTGCTTTGTAAAGCTTACAGAAAATTTAAAAGTATCATGACAATCAAAATCTCTTCGTAAATCTTCTAATTTATTGCTGTTTTGCTGGATAAATTCGAACTTGTCTCAATATTTCGATAAAATAGAAATAAAATAGAAAAACAGAAGAAGTAATACAGAACAATTATTACCGACAATTTGGTCCGCACTTCCTTCATCACCAGTTTTCTATTGTTTTTGCGAAGTCTTCTATAATCAGGAATATATGAAAATTCAAAGTCGAACACAACGCTTTAAAAGAACAGTCGAATGCACTGAGTGAGGTGCTGTATAGGCTGCTCCAGCAGTTTTACACGACAAACTTCTGTTGCTTTCGACGACTACAACGTTTTGCTCCTAAACCAAATGTCATCAAACGACTAACTGTATTTGAATTAGAAACGATAGCATCAGTAAAAAAGATGCATTACTACCCTCAATTAACTGCTGCTGTTCAAAGATTAAGAAGTAATTAGCAACAGAATACTGCTGATTAAACAGATAAAGCAGTATATTTTCAGTGACAGTTTGTGGGTTTAAACTGTGATATGTTCTCATAATGTCACCTTATAACCAAAATATCACCAAATTGATGCTTGTAAAATTCAAATATTTTTCTACAATTTCACGAAAATGATTGAAAAAACATATTTTTTTTCTTTTTTTTGCGTACTCATTGTTGCTGAAAAAAAAAGAAAAAAAGATGCAGTATTGCTGATGAATGAATAATTGTTGTCATAATAAAACGCCTAAGAACTATCACTGAAATTATTAGAAATCTTTTGATTAAATCATAAATTTTTGACAAATATCTTATAAATAAATATGGATATACATATATATTTGAAGAAACATAAAGAAGCACTCTATAAATTACCCAAAACTTAGTGCTTTTTTTTGACAAATTAATAAAGATGTACAAATATCAATCGAACTAAATTGGTTTTTATGTTTTCACCTCTTATAAAAAAGGAACTTCTTGCTATTTGCAAGCAAATTTTGCAGTTGTTATTGGTGTTAACTGTATATTGATATAAGCATCAGAATTGCTCGAAAGCGCTACAATTTATTCACTCTTTTTTTTTAAAGTAGAAAGCTGTAAGTAAATAAATTATAAATAAATAAAACTGTTTTGTTTCTATAAGCTATGCAGCTATTAGACTAATCTAAAACAAAATCTTGGGCTTTTGGTTGCTTATGCAAGTGCATAGACGTTTAGCATCTCTATTAGTGTAGCAACTTTTTTTTTTTAAACTAATTTACCAAATATAAAATTTTTTCTAATAGTAAACAATTAACTTTTTGTTGTTTGTTGTTGACAGAAAAAATGTCGTTCAGAAGCAGAAGCGAAAAAAAAAAATTGGAGAAAAAGATGAGAGATTAAGTGTCAAACAGTGTAAAAACTTAGCTTTTACCAACAGTTGTCAGAACTGAAAAAGCAAACAGCAACCAGCAAGAAATATGCTTAAAGAAAATGTAAAAAGTAGTTGAAAAGAAAAAACAGTTCTGATTCCTAAAAACAGCAGTAGAAATATGTAGAAAACAGTAATCTGGAAAAACAGTTATCAATTTTCTAATAAAAAAAAACAAAAATAAATTACTAGCTGCAACTAGTTGTTACTCGAACAAACAGTTTATACAGTATTTCAAAGCACAATTTGAAATTTCTAGAAAAAAAATTGAGCAATGCAGAACAAAACAACAGATCAAACTAATGTTGCTTTGAGTCATAATTCTTACAATGAACAAATGAATCAACAACGGCAACATAACCGATGGTTTTTTTTTTCATACCAATGAAAAGAAACAGCAACGGCATCAGTAACAGCCTTAGTTTAGCAGTAAACGAATTAGCATTGAACTGATATTGAAAAAAAAAAGGTTTTTTATTTTTTGAAAAGAGTTGTATGACGAAGCAAAACACTATGTTTGGTAAAAATTTTAGACTTTAAACATATTATTTGCAAATAACACCAAATCGTCTGCAGTTTTAGAAAGCCCAGTCAATTGTACATTTAATTTTTGTTACTTTACGAGCAATTATAAAGATTTAACTTTTAGAATCTGCAAAAGGTTATTGCTTACCAAAGTTATGACTTATATTTGTAACTTTAAAATGCAAAACGATTCTCCAAATTTAGTTGATACTTATACCAAAGAAAAAAGACTTATCTCATAATTGAACAGCAAAAAACTTCTAAGCAACTTTTTCAGTACCCAATCATTTTGATTCTGATTCAAATAATGCTCAGAAAAACATCTTGTATAATTTTAACAGTAAATTTTAATCTTTTTTAGGACTAAATATTGTATTATATCAATAACAGTTTAATAGAATACCCCTCCAAAAAGAAAAAAAAAAGCAAAGGAATATTTGTTGTTTACTAAAAAGCAGTTGTTGTTTACTGTTGACTCTGTTCTCGTCGTTGTGCTCTTATCTATAATTTTGATAAAAAAAATCTTGTTATGAAAAGTGAAAACTGTACTGAAGATGATTTGGTGTATAATAAACTAAGAAAATGTCAGTAATAATTATAGCTGCAAACAGTTTTCAAAAAAAAATTTTTTTTTTGTTTTGTAAGAACAAAAAATTATTTGGTAATCAAAAAAAAAAAAAAAAAAGAAACAGATGTGATTATGAAAACATCAGAAGAATAAATAAAAAACAAATACATCTTTTTTTAAACTGAGAATGCAGTTTGACAAGTGAAAAATAGTTTAGATTAAATCAATTTTTGTTTTTTCAAAGAAAGAAAATGTTATCTTCTGGAAAAAAACCTGGAAATGATAACTCTGCAGTGCAATCTGTTATTTGCTCTGATAACTACAGATTCGTACACTAAATTTTGTGGTAAAGTTTCTTCAAGTAGCTTCAAAAAAAATATTAATTATTTATTTTATTTCATTGTATTGTATGTGGTTTTCTCCACAGTGAATTTCTGTTTTTGAATAATAAAAGCAGTTTCACAAAGTCACATGCAACGGTGCACAGTTAATAAAGAGAATAAAATGACAAAGATGAACAAAAATTAACTTTTTTTTTTAAAATTTTTTTAATTAATTTGAATAGCTTAATAAGTGCTAATAATTCTTTAACTAATCAATTCAGTTTATGATAAGAAATACTTAACAAACTAAATTTATAATTTTTTTGTAATGCTTTTACTTTCAATCACAAAAACAACAGTGGAACTACAATCTTATTACTGATGTTATTTGATCAATTAATTCTAGTTTTTTAATGTTTACAAGTTGCTTTAGAAAGTTAAAATTTAACTCCTAATTCGTTCAGCAATGATTTCTTTGATTTGTTTTTAAAAAGGCTGTCAAACTTGCGTTGTACTCTGTAATAAAAAAAGCGTCGAGATCGGCATTATTCCCGGAACTTGCAAAACGTTTTCTGATCACTTCAATTTAAAGAAGAGCAGCGAAAAACGTTTCTATAGATTACGAATTCAGTAGCTATAGTTGTATAACATGCTGTTTACTAGAAAAATTATAGTCGAATCAATATAGAAATTTTTTGATAACAGGTTTCTAATTTTTGATTTTCAGTATAAACATTAAAAAATTTATCTGCTGCTGTACCGTTGTTGAAATGCCAGTTGCACTGGTCAAGTGAAGTTAACGATTTGAGTACGATTTACATAGTTTATTTTAGTTTTGCTAAAGATTCTGACAAAGTTTGTTATCGAAAGTCAATTTAAGTTTCACAAATCAAAAATGTAAAGAACACTTT